TTGTGGTTAAAAGAATATAAAGGTAATATGGGGGAATTTTATTAAAATTAAAATAACTGCATACTGTTTTTTAAAAGCCATAGAAAGACATGAATGAATATGATACAGATGAGGAAAATAGTAATATAGAAATTTTTATACCTGAATGTATCAGAAACTGCATTAAATGCAAGTAGATACTATATTTAAAAGGCATCAAAATCAAAATCTAATTATATGTTGATTACAAGTGATATGCATTAAATATAGGCACACAAAGGATTACAAGTAAAAGGGTAGGAAGGATATACCATGAGAACTGTTAGAGACAAAGTGCAGGGGAAAGGTCTATGTTTTGAACATACTATACTATGCCAACTGGATACCACTATAGAAAAAACACAAATAATGATTTCTGACTCATAGAGTAAAAATATCTACTTCAGGTGGATTGTAGATCAAAATGTAAAAGGCAAAATAATAAAACTTCTAGACTATAACATACGATAGTATTATGACTGCACTAAGCAGAATACAAAAGCAATATAAACAGAATTTTAAAAGTACTAACCATAAATGAAAAAAATGACAAAGCTGATCTCATTAGCATAAGAACCCATACTGATTTTTTAAAAGCATTATTAAGAGAATGAGATGGTAAGACTTAGTGTGGAAGAAAGTGTTTGTAATACTCATTGCCATTGAAGGATAGATTCCAGAATATAAGCAGCACTCCAGTAAAGAAAAGGCAAAGTCAGATGAGCAGGCACTCCAAAAAAAGGGCATGTGAGTGACCACTAAGTAACTTTGGAAAGACCACCAACACCATGCATCATCAAGAAAGGGCCCACCAAACTACAGTGGGATGTACTGAAATGTAGAAGTCTGATAACATCAACTATTAGAACAGATAGAGGGAGATGAGAACTTTCATCTGTCCCTGGTAGGAGTGCACAGGAGTGCAATATCTTTAGTCTTTTTGACAGATCTACTCATGAAGGACACATGTCAACCACACAAACCAGCAACACAACTTGTAGGTACATTCTCAACCAGATACATATACAATAAATTCTTGAAATTCACAACTGTGATAACTCTATAAAGTCAACAGGGACCTTGAATTAGCAAATCCTGCTGCACAGCTTTTAGAGAAAATACAAGATCACATTCCTGTTTTCCTCAGGTTACACCTTTGTCCACCAGTCAATCCATAACCTTGTTTCAAGTGCATTTATTTAATAGCACCTTATTTAATATATATTATTGATCCATTAACATCGAACCAAGAAGCAAGACGATTATGAAACATGCCCAGAAGAAGCTTTGCTAATGCACATAAAAAGACATCTCTTTTCATAAGGCACATCATGGTCTTCTTGTGCTCAAGAACACCAGGCTGCAGTTCATCCATGCACCCTCAGGCCATGTTAAAAAATGAAATCACAAGCAGAAATACAAAAATGAGAAAAATGTCACATTAAACAGACAGCCAAAGGTCACTGGTTTACAGAAGAGCAGCTGACAGAAGAAGGCAGAGCACCATGCTCTCCAACCTCAGTGAGATTCAAACTCTCTGACCAGACTGCACATGTCTGCCACTGATGGTGAAAGCTCTGGGAGCAATGAGTTTGAAGTTTTCAATATATTTTGGGAAGCAGACAAATCACAAATACAGAATATGAAAATCAAATATGAATACATGTAATCATGTAATATTATTTGCAAAAGAGCTGAAGAGGGGATGAAAAGTGGTCTTAGTTATCTACTCATTGCTAAGACAAAACACTCCATTAAAGGAGGAAAGATTTATTTAAGCTCATAGTTTGCAGAGTTTTCAGTCCACGGTGAATTGGCTCTATGGCAGGATAGCCTGGCGGAGGAGAAACAGTCCATGGCATGGCAGGCAGAAAGCAGCAAGCAGGGGCTGGGGGTTTAGCTCAGCGGCAAAGCGCCTGCCTGGCAAGCACAAGGTCGTGAGTTCAGTTCCCAGTACCGGAGAAAAACCAAAAAAAAAAAAGAAAGCAGCAAGCAACAAGCCTTTTTAATTCCCTTCAAAATAAAGCTAAATTTTTTTCTTTTCTATCCATCCAGGCTACAAGCCTATTGGCCAGTGCCACTCACACCCAGGGTGGGCCTTCCCATCATCCACACCCACAACTGTGTTAAACCAATCAGTAGACTAAGCCAGTTATCATGCCTTTAATCCAGTATCACACATGGATCAGTATCCACGATCTAGTTATTCCCAAAAGCCCCATCTATGAGCACCTGAGGCTTGGTGGGGGGGGGCATCTAGATATAAGCCATAACAAGTGTCCATAAATTGAAAGATGGACAGATTGTGTAATATCCATTCATGGACTATCATGTTGTGAGGGTGAAGAGATTACTGCTGTTTGCAACAATGTCAGTGAACTTCATAAACA